CTATATAAATACTATGTAATAATAATACAGCAAAAAGAAGAAAGCTGGAATTGATGGAATCAGAAAAAACTCCCCAAACTGTGGCAGACAGGTAACTATCCCCGTTGTGTATTAGAGGGGAAGTCCATTCTCACTTGTAATGACACTAAACATAAACCTGTCAAATGGCTCCGGAACACACATATACCATCCAGATTATAATGCAGAAACCTGACCCACATCATTCAATATTTCCTTCTAGTCAGGTACTTATTCATCATAAATACTCTGGGCAGAATAAAACTTACACATAAGAACTCCAAAGGACATTCCTTGGCTGGAGCAGAGGGAGTGTGAGGCTGCAGGGACAGGTCTAGCAGCCAGGCGGGATTGAGCTTCGGGTGAATATAACTTTGCTATTTTCCTCCCTAGACAAAAACAAGCACTTAACCCTTGCAGTGCAGGCACAGCAAGGAATGTCACTTGGAGTTCTCATGCCTAAGGGTCCCCATACACCTTACAATCTGACTGTTCAATCAAATTTAGAGTTACCAAAACTACGTAATATAAGGGCCTACCTCCCCTATCCAATCAATTGGTATCCAATCAGGCCGGCCCTTGCACTACATAGTTGTTGGTAGATCTAAAGGAAATTATACACTCAGATGGTAATGTGTGTGGTGAGCGTAATACACTGTATTAGATGCAAAGACTTACAGGTCCTTAGATCGCCAGAGCGCAGGGGGAGAGGGGCTGCAGGGACGGGAGCCAGGCGGGACCGAGGTTCAGGTGAGTATATCTTTGGTATTTTAGACACTAGACCAGGGGTCTCAAACTCAATTCACTTGGGGGCCACTGGACACATTTTTTTTCTCCCATGGGGGCTACTTACCAAATGTCATACTTCAAAATAAAATGTAACCATATACAGTACCAGTGTTCATGTCTGCGTGCGTTTATAATGTCAGTATATGTGTTTGTGATGGTTTCCTTGTATGCAATGTTAGTATATTGTTTTGTGATGGTGTGTGTGTGTGTTAGAGCGGACCTTTACCCCCTTGTGACTAAAAATCCCATCAGCAAGCAGCTCTGCATGCTGATATGAAATCATCTTACATTCACTAGCTAAACAAACGTATTTTTATTTGACTTACAACTTGTTTACTTCATGGTCCTGCTCTGGCGCAAATGATGTAAGTGCCCAGGCGTTGCATCCTGGGAAGGTGACATCAGCAGAGCGTTGCTGGGAAATCTCATCTGTAATCTCATGAGATCTCAGGGAAAGGCATTTTCCTCCCCTGAGATGATGTGCATGGTCACATGTCCTAGTCACATGTGCCAGAGTTCCAGGAAGTAAAGAGAGATTTATTAATCTGCCCTTAGTAAAAATGGATACTGTGAGAAGAATGGGGGTGGGGGGATAAGGTATGCAAAGAATAAAAAGCCTGCAATTATCTAGAAGTATATGTTTATAGATTCAGGTACGCGGTTCGTGATCTGTGACTGTGTGCTTGACTTGTCAGCCGGCTGTGGAACGCATGGTAATGGTTCATGGGCCAAATCTTTCAGACCCCGGCCCCAGGCGTAATCGAGAACTGAGGCCTGGTTCACACCTGTGCGTATTGCATAAGCGCGTCACACGCGCGTTTACCCTTGCAGAGCGGGGGGTGGCCACCATGCATTGCAGCACAGCATGCAGTACCAGTATACCGCATATGCACTACTTTTTTTAATACATGGTAAGTATTGTGGTACCCCAGCCAGGAAGTATATTGGGCTGCCATTTAAAAGAATGCGAATGAACCCAGCACACGGTAATGCACTCTAGGGTCGCTGTATGACAACCTTGCATTAAACACACATGGTATTGTGTTATTAATTCAACACTCTGGTGTGAATGGGCCCTGAGGAATGGTTCACACCACATCCAGTGCGTTTCAGCGGGCATTGCAGTACCATGCGTGCAAGTGCGGGCGATCACGCTGCGGCCGGAAGGCATGTCTGCGGTGCCATGCACCCCCAGGGCTCAGGGAGGCTTGCTCTATGTGATCCAGTGTGTTTGGGCCATTAACTGTGCTGGAATGTAAGGGCCACAAATATAATGAAGTAGGATTGTGTCACCCCTGCGCCCACTTAATTTAGTCATTTTAATTCGAAAAATACATTTTAATCATAGTTAATGCACAGCATTTCTAGAACTTTCTGTGGACTGTTTCTGGTCTCCCCATTTCATCTGTTTCGGGTTACCCTTACTAGCTGTCACAGTTCAGTTCTGCCTAGAGATTGCTGTCACTAGGTAGATCTCAGGACTAATATGGACATGATTAGTGACCTCGTTTTGGAGGAAAAAGTAAACAACCAATCAGCTGTTGGACTCACCTTTAAATGTTTTCAGTCAGAAGCTCTCCTCAGCAGTAATCATCTTTAACACAACTTGCCCCGCCCTCCCTCCCTTGTCGCGGCTATCCTTTTTTGGGGGTATTGTCGCCCACATATGTGGGTGGACAGTGTTTACTGGTATATTGGACTGGTGTGATGATTATGGCTCAAGTCTGGGTGACTGAGCTCATTTATGTAGGAAGTTTTAACTGGTTTAAAAGTTTATCTACATATATGTTTATGGTTAAAGTTTAACCACTTGCTGCCTGGGGCATTTTCTTACTATTTGCGCACACATGATAAAATATACATTTTTGGCTAGAAAGCAGCTCCAGACCCCCAAACAATGAGATATGTTCTGAAAGCAGAGGCCCAGTAGAATAAAAAAAATGCTAGTTGCAATTTTTTATGTTGCTCGGTTTTTGCGCAAATGTTTATCAAATCAGTATTTTTAGGAAAAAATAAACTAAATTAAAATTTAGTGCACAGAAACATATGATACCCAATTTCTTGGTAAAATATGAAAGACTGGATCACGTTGGATAAATAGATACCAAACATGTCAAGTCTTAAAATTTTGTTCGTCCGTGAAGCCGCAAAAAAATAAATACCCAAAATTTCCCATAGGGAACATTTTAAATGCTTTTACCGCTCATCAGTTTAGTGCTAACAGTGATTGATGGGCCTAGAAGTATTGCTCCGACGTTCGCTGCTATATGTAACATGTGTAGCGCAATTGTCGTTTTCGCACGTAGGTGCACCGACACGTGTTTATGTGTGTGCACGTAGGAGCGGGGACTTAAAAATTTTTTTTGCATTTTTCTTATGTTACTTTAATTTTTAAACTTTTGTTTTTCTTTTCACTAACCCTATTGCTATTACATAGGGAGCTAACAAGCACCCTATGTAATAGCAGATAGGGTGTGACAGGTCCTCTTTAGGCCCCGTTCACATGTAGCGACATACCTTTGCAGCGGCTGGGATAGAGCGACTTTCGGGGCGACGTTCCAGCGACGGTAGCGCGACCTTCTCTGTCGGGCTCCATAGAAAAAAAGCAAAATCCGCCGAAAAAAGGGTCCGGTAGAAGCGACTTGCGACCGCGACGAGCGACATGGAGCTAAGACAGCTTCATTGACTATCATTAGCCGGTGACTTCTCGCGATATCGCGCGGGAAAAATGTGCGATATCGCGGCGGAAATCGCGCGATAAGTCGCTACATGTGAACGGGGCCTTATGGAGACATCAGGGGTCTTTCAGAGCCGGAGACTGTAAGGCCCCGTTCCCACTGCGCGATATGCAAATCGCGCATTAGTCGCGCGATTTGCATATTGCGAGATTTGCCGCGCGACATCGCGTTCAAGCTTGCATTGAGCAAGCTTGAATCGCGGCTAAATCCGCTCCAAAAAGGGTCCTGCTGTAGCGACACACGACCCGCGACAGCAGGACCCTTTGACCCATTGAAATGCATTGGAGCGCGATATCGCACGGTAATTTAGTGTTATCAGTGATTGATGGCCCTAAAATGATTGCTCTCACTGCGACGTTCGCGGCGATATGTAACATGTGTAGCGCAATTGTAATTTTTGCGCGCTGGGGCACCGGACGTATATACGATTTACGTTTATAGGCGCGTAAACGTGGGGGTGGGGGAGTTAAACATTTTGGGGGGGGGTTTCCCCTTTTTTTATATGTGACGTTTATTTTATTTTACTTTTTTATGTAAGTTAAGAGTGACACCGGAAGTGATGTCATACACATCACTTCCGGGCCTAGTGATCAGAGGAGAGATCAACGGTTGGCAGCGGCTGTACAGACGCCGGAAATGCTTGTACATTAACAGCAATCGCCTGCTGTTAAAAGCGGTACCAAGAACACGGCTGCTGCAGCAGCCATGTTCTTGTTTTAACCACTTTAATGGGCCGCCGTCTATACACGTATTGCGGCCCGGAAGTGGTTAAAGAATGTTGTTGAATTAAAATAATATATATTTTGCTTTTAACCCCAATTAAGGTTTCTACTAATACGGTAGTATAGTCTCTAGTTTTTTCATTCTAGTTCAATGTGTTTATTGGTGTGTGGGTGCTGTGGGGTCTACAATCCCATGCACTGGATGTGGTGTGACTGGGGCCCTCAAGGAGCAAATCATGATCATCTTGCATAGGGATTTTCTCTTATTGAAGTTTCCTTCATCACGTGATTGGATTTTCTTCACAAAGTAAATCTTCATCACATTTATTAAGTAAAAAAAAAAAATGTCCCTTTGTAAAGTGAACAAGCTCGTTATCGTGTATCAGCCGCCAACGCAGATCAATCCATCTGATCAGCAGACTGTCTCCGTCATTGTAGTGCTCGGAATAATATTCAGAAAGATTCTTCCTGCCAACCCCTCTTCTCATCAATAAAACATACATGGAGCGGGCATGATTTCTACTCGGTCATCCTGCAGCTATGACAGTCATGTGAGCACATTCTACACACCGAGCCTCGCTTCCCCAGTCCCCGGACACCCCATTATCACATGGAGCCCCCATATGCCGTAGCCTGTTAAAAGGTGACAACGTGTTGCGCAATAGACCAAGCCCACCACCTGACACCCGCCGCCCTGGCTGGAACCCCGCCGTATGGCGCACCTCATTTCCTTCACAGGGGGATTTCGGGTCCAATCGTCAGCACACGGTACCAGCTGATCATCCCTCCACCCCTCCTCCCCCGCTTCATTGGTACCTGACCTGCCGTATAAAAAGCAGACGAGGCGTTTCCCTTGTATCACGCAGCTCTGTATTTGGGAACGTGTAAGAAGAAAGCGAAGAGACAAAATGGCTCTACCACCCACCGAGATCAACCCTGAGGTAAGCCGCACCTGTCCGTCCTCTGCCGGTCACTGCTTCTTCATGAGACCCGCTGGTAATCATTCCCTCCACCTTGTGTCTCCACAGATGCTGAACAAAGTGAGTGTGGGCGGTGACCGGGCGGCGGCTTTCCTCGCATCCTCCATGGTTCCAGCCTCAGCATCTGATCTACAAGAGAGGATGCTGCTGCTTTATGATGGAGGCATCGTACACATGGGGCAGGGCGGGGTCCATGTGTCCTCCAAACTCAATGAAGCCCTCCAACTTTGCTTCTCTAGGAGTGGCAGCCATTGTTCAGGGTGGACCACGCTTCAGCCATTGCTCGTGTTTTACTTTTCTAGGAGTGGTAGCCATTATTAGCATGGTCCACCCGTCACACATTGCTCATCATGAGCCTCCCTTTTCTAGAAGTGCCAGCCATAATCTAGAACGTTCTTCCCTTACTTTACTAGGATTGGCAGCACTTTGCATGTTCCTCGCCTAGAAGTGCCAGCCATAATCTAGCATGTTGCTTCCCTTACTTTTCCGGAAGTTAGCCATTTAGGAGATCACACATTGCTCATCATGAGCCTCCCTGTTCTAAAAGTGCCTTCATTTGGCATGTTCCTTCTCTAGAAGTTGACCACCCTTTAGCCATTGCTCCTCCCTTTCTTTTCTAGAAATATTAATCACTGTTCCATCCTCCTGCCTCACTTTTCTAGAGGTGAACCCTTTAGCATGTCCTAGAACTTGGCACTCTTCTAGAAGTGTCAGCCATTGCTCATTATGTGTGCCCCACCCTTACTCTAGGAGTGTCAGCCTTTGTTCACCTGTCTCTAGCTGTCAGCTATGGCTCAGCATCTTCTACCTTCACCTACTTCACTGGAAGTTTCAGCTATTCATGTTCCACCCGTCCTGAGATGTAATTGTTCAGCTTTATTCACCCATGTTTCACTATTCTCGAAGTGAGCCATCATTCAGCATGTTCCACCCTTTTCTGCAAGTGTCAGCCATTGCTCATCATGGTCCGATGTTACTTTGGCATGTTCTACCTCCACCTACTTCTCTAGAAGTTTCAGTCGTTGGGATGTTCCATCTTTCTCTAGCATTATCAACGTTTAATTATGTTCCACTCTGTAGCGTCAGCCTGATCCATTAGCGTGTTTTACCTTTATTTCTTTACCAGGATCAGCCATTTATCTTCATCCTCTAGCAGTATCTGCCATTGTTCAGCATGTTCCACCCTTCTCTAGCAGTAATGTAGTTTTTGGATTAATTGGGGTATTGAATCGGTACTGTACTGAAGCGTAAAATTGAATTAATGCTCTAAGAGCCTTTAATGGCCATGTAATGTCTATTGACTACCTTGTTGGTGTATTGCATGAGGATGCATCACTAAATCTGGCCGTAAACTTGAATTTGGTCCCATTCACGCTGAATCAGTCAAAATGTGAGCAGTGACTGGCCCTATCCGCACCACCAACTCAACAAACCGTAGGAAAGTCTAAGGAGCTGGATGAAATGTGTCAGTTGAACTGGGATTACAATTGTCTAGTTTTCAGGGAGGGTTCCTGGCATCTCTGCATGTATGATGGTTGCTGCAGACTGACTATAGTCTGTGCTCTTCCATGGATGGTGGTGACAAAGCAAAGGTTGCACTGCAGTGGCCCTTCCCATGTATACAATTATTGACTTGCGTTTGACTTAATGATTAACTTGATTTTTTTTTTTTTTTAAAGGCTCTGATCTGTAAGCACAACTAACCATCTGGCATTTGTGTACCTAACTTCCACAGACCGGTTGGTTATTACTAATAAAGACTTTTCTTTGCAGCTGCTGGAAAAATTTGGTGTTTCCAACAGTAAATTTGAGGATGTCTTGGGTTTGGAACCGTCCGATGTAAAGGCATTTACCAAACCAGTCTATGCTCTGCTGCTGATCTTCCCACTAACAAAAAAGGTAAGGTTGCAGGTTTGATGATGTGGGCTACAGTAAACATTCTTGGTTGTGGTATACCTGTGGTTCCTAGAACAAAGGTAACCTGGTTCTTCATAATAAATTCTTAACATTTCTCTGCAGCATATGATCACAAATATGCAAGACTTTATTTCTGAATCTTGTTTGTGGTGTAATGGAATTTCATAAGCTTATGGAAGTCTCGCTAGCCAGTGAGTAAGATCCATTAACCTGGCTGAGGGGTGGGGTGAACATGCAAAAACTTTGAGCTGTAACTTGATACCGCTAAGGAACTCCAGGAAACCTTTTCTCTGTACTGCAAGGGTTAACTGCTCATTTTTGTCTAGGTGCTAAAAAGTTATCCTTACCCAAAGATCTGAGCCTGCCTGCTGTCGCAGTGCTCCCTCCTGCCTGTCTCCTTCTTCCTATGTCCTCACATCTACACACTGAGGTGGCTTACAGGACCTTAGACTGCTACAGAGGACGGAGAGATGTTGGAAGGACCAGTCTAACAAGCCGTCTGGGCGCACCAGGCGACTAGAACTTTTATTGGACCTAGACAAAAACAAGCAAGTAGCCCCACTGTAAGGCCTTGTTCACACAAAGCGTGTGTTCCAGAGCAGTAGCTGCTGGATCGCTAAGTAACTTCTACCCACGTTCTGGGGTGGGAGAGGGTAGTGCATTGAATTCAGTGGCACCGCTTCATGCCCCCCGCCTGCAGTGCGATCGGACAGGTGGCAAGACTTTGCCAGCATTCAGTTCCACTGCAAACACAAAAAATAGGGCTTGCTTTATTTTGTTTGCAGTGGAACGCAACGCTGGAAAAGTTTTGCCACTGAATTCAATGCTCCGCCACGCACCAGAACGTGGGGGAAGTTTCTTAGCGATCGTAGTGCGTTCCAGCAGCTACTGCTCTGGAACGCACATGCTTTTGGTGTGAAAACAAGCCCTACGAGTTTAACTTTTTTTCCTGGAGTTTTTATCAATACAATCACTTTGGTTATGACCTGACCAACAAATGTCTCCAGGTAGGCTTGTCTTAGTGCTGTCTTTCTGCAGCCATTTCCTAGCTACATGAATACATGTCAGAAAATGCTGGATGTCACCATGGGGAGCCCTGCCCCAAACAATTACAAGTAGACAGAACTGCAATGTGCTATGGCATAGCTTTTCACAAAAGGGTGAACTGTTTGTAGAAGTGAACAATCTAGACAAATGGCTGCTTTGGAAACATTCTCCAGCTTACTTTCCAGTTATGTTCCCCTGCCTTCAACTCCACCTTTTTGTGAATAACCCTGTTTTATGATCATGACAAACAATTGAATGTGGGCAAGGTGAGGTCACCCTAAACAGGAAGTTCCTGCTCAGGACCTTCATGGCTCGATTATTAGTATATCAAAGTGCAGGCTGAAGTGTATTTACACTTTCAGACAAATTGGAGAACTCTTTTCATACTTGCACAGCATGGCAAGAAATTTCAGTTGTCTGTAGCAGGCCTTTTGAACAGACTGCAATAGAGCTGCAGCTAACGATTATTTTCAAAATCGATTAGTTAGCTGATTATTACGTTCGATTAATCGGATAGAAAATAAAATACATTTTAAAAAATGGCTCCGGTGATGGGACTACTACCGTGTTTCCCCGAAAATAAGACATTGTCCTATATTTTTTTTTTTTTACGAAAAAAGACACTAGGTCTTTCGGGGGATGTCTTACCTGGCTTGGCTGCAGCTGTCCGCTATGCTGGGTGTTGTAGTCCTCTAAAGCTGGTGGCATTGCGCTCTATAATGTACTATTGGGTTTTGTAGTCCTCTATACAGCACAATGCAGAATACCACCAGCTATATAGGAATACAACAAATCCCAGCAATACATTATACATACAGTGTATAATGTATTGCTGGGATTTGTAGTCCTCTATAGCTGATGGTACATTGGTCTGTATAATATATAGCACAATGTACCATCAACTATAGAGGAATACAAATCCCACTACCCCAGCCATAGATTATAGAGCATGTGTGGAAAGTGCAGGCTTACCTGAGCAGTCTTCCAGCAACCTGTTTTCTGAGATGGGGCCTGTCTATTGGCGGCTGTCATCCGCCCACACCTGCTCCTCCTTACTACTTCTCCCTGTGCCGACCGTGGATTTGGGCGGGCATTGAGCGTGAGGCAGGGAGGTGTGGAGCATGGATGCGGGCGGGTCTGAGGTGGGGAGGAGGTGTGGCGCGCAGCGTGTGTGGAGCTGTGAACAGGGGCAACCAATCGGAAGCCGATTAATCAATGATTGAAATAGTTGACAACTTTTTCAATCGACTATGGCGATTAGTTGTTGCAGCCCTAGACTGCAAGCTTCGTGCTACAATTTCAAAGTAATACTCTGGTTGCCTCCATTGAGCACTAGGACACAACTTCTAGAGCTTTAACGTTTTTGTTAAGATGGATGGTGTTTAAATCTGACTTGCAACTGAGATGCCAGAAAAGTACAGACAGGGTTTGAGTTGTCTTGTCAATGAGAACCTGTAACTTGTATAAAATAGAGGTTGTCCCGATTTGACTGACATTAAATCTCTTGCATGTGTAACACAACTACAAATGGTGGTATATCTATCTGAATAATGCAGCTCTATATTAAAGAACATGCAGCTTGTAGTTGATATAATGGGTGTAAGTACCTGAATTTGAACAGGGTCAGCCTCTTGGGAGTCTCTACATCAGAGATCGGAAGGGGAAAGTAGCACAAGACATGAATCCAGCCAGCTGTGCTAACATGGGACACTGGAGAGAAGAGTGACCAGCCCACTTCTTATTTCACTGTAAAGGCTGGAGGAGGGTGAAGATCTGCAAGTGTCGGCTAATGTCCAGGCAAAATGGTAAACTAATTGGTAAATCTCGAGTAAATGGGATGGAAGTATAACCCCCCCCCCTCCTAAAATGAATTTAATTGCAGTAGAGAAGTTGGGCTGGCCTGCCAGGCAGGTCTATGCTATGTGGTAGAACTGTATCTCTGGACTGGATAGACACACAACACTTCAGTAGGTAAAACTGCTCCCTTAGATGCTTTTTGTTTAGTGATTTGCCTGCTGAATCAGCTAAAATACAAGCTGTGGGTTTGACCTGTCAGCACCACCTGGCTTCACAAGGCTACTTAAATAAAATCAATTGGGTGGATTTAAAGCCGGGAGGAAAATGTCAGTCTAATGGCAGCTCAATCACAGATGCAGTACCTGTTGCAGCTCTCCAAATATAATAGTTGACCCTTAAGTCCCCTTTATCCCTGCAGTTTGGGGTAGGAGGATCAAGTGGTTCTCGTTTGGCCTTCACTATGAAGTGGTTACCCTTCAAAAGGAGATTCTGTTATGTTCTTTTGCCATGGGCCATGTCTGCAAACATGATATTCTGGGCCACTTATCTGTTAATGTCTGAAATTCAGAGCTGTTCAACCTAGTCAATTATACTTTGCAAACACTGGATTACTTGGAGTGATTAGCCTGTTGAATAGGACAATGGGCAGAGCTGATGGGGGGGAATAGTGTTTTTTTTTTTCAGGCCACAACAACTTGGTAGCTGAGTGCCCTCTCTACAGTGTGGCCCCACAGTAACATGGTCACTCTGCAGCAGTGACGGCCACTTTACAGCACACCTGTGGTTTGCCATGCAGGGAACAGCAATAAGTTTACCTTTTTTAAAGTGACCCTAAACTCAAGTTAAAACCTCAACATTCAAGTGCCTTAACTAGTAACAAAAATGTACCTTGTGTATCGCTTGCCTGTAGATCCTGAAATCATTTCTCAATCCTTCTGGAGGGTGATTACTTTTGGTACTCATGGTCCCTGTTTTCTAAAGTAGCCACCGCTCCAACCTTGCTCCTGTGATTGACTACAATCTCAATACAAATGGGTAAACTGAACAGATTTGTAGTCAATCACAGGAGCAATGTTGGAGCGGTGACTAATTTACAACGCACAGACCACGGGGAACCACCAAGTAGCCACCTTCCAGAAGGGACAGTGTTGGCACCAATTCAGAGATTTGAGGATCTACAGCTGAGATGTACACAAATCAATAAAAACCATTTTTTAACTTTAACTCCTGAGTTTAGTGTCACTTGAGCAATCCCTACACCATGCTTGTCACTCTCCTCTGCCACACTGGCTGCCAGGAGCAGAAGACAGACTAAGATTGCTGCCTGAAAAAGCCATTTAGTTTATTGGTAATTCAGATAAATCCATGAAATGTGGTTGCTAACCAGTGAAGTACATGTCTTTTATACAATATTGTAACATCATCTTGGCATCCATTTTACCTGTTTAATGTTCTAATGAGCAGAAGTTCTCCTGTCCTTGCAGCATGAAGAATTCAGAAATGAGCAAGTTAAGAAACAGAAGGACAAAAAGCTGGACTCCAAAGTGTATTTCATGAAGCAGACCCTTGAAAACCTTAGTGGCATTGTTGCCCTGATCCATTCTGTAGCTAATAACAAAGATTCAGTGAGTTTTGGTGAGTTTGAGGATATTTACAAACTGTCTTACAAATGTTGAATAGATTTATTTATGGTACATGAAGCTTCACTGATGGCTTAAATGAGAAAGGTGTTGCTCTTAACATCCAAATGTGTCTGCTAAAACTTGGTACTCTATAGCTCAAGGAAACAGATCTACATGACTATGTAAGGGTTCTCCTAATCCTCCTTTGCTGCAGCACTTGCTTGGGTTTCTGATCCCTTGCCACTCATTTGCTAAGTGGATAAAATACTTGGTACTTTGAAGTATAGAAGAGCATGTGACTTGCTCTCATTTGACAATTAGTGACCACCATATGAGGGGGTGGAGAGGCATTGTTCCATGTCTAAGCCTAGCGATTTGGTGCTTACACATGGATTTCAGTTATGCATGAGCAAAATAAATGGCTCCCATGTAGGCAGATCTCCTCATTTATGTCCTTCCTGTGACCAGAAATTCAATTTCTAGTTAAGATTCTGATGCAGAGTCTTTTACACAAAATAACAGTTTAAATGAAATGCCAAAAACGAACTATAGCCTAAATGGTTAAAAATGGCAGATACGCTTCAAAAGGGAGGCTTTAATGAGAGCTGATTAGGGGTTAAGGGTTAGTCGGTGACTAAACATGTAGGATAGAGTAGGGAAGGGTAAAAAATCACTGGGTTTACAGCTGTCTAGAACTTTGCTTTCCCTGTCCCTGGGGAAAGCAGTATTGTGAAACATACAGAAGTAAAACTACCTCAAGTTGGGTAGGGGAATGCTTTGGTCTCCTGTGACAGCAAGTCACGATCTAAAATGGGTTGTAAACACTCAGTGATCAGCTTCCTGTTCATTCAGGACTGGGGACACTAAGTGCTCTGCATCACTTGTTCATGCTTGTGTAAACGGTATGGGTTACGATCTCCAGTTTATGAATGGATAGGAGCACTTATAGAGCCTTCCTGTTCATTTAGATCTGTAAAAAAAAGTCAAGGCAACTCGACTGCCTTATTTCTTGAAGACATTTCACTGGTCATCCAACCAGCTTTCTCAATTCTGATGTCCAGTGAAACCTCTTCAAGAAATACAGCAAGTCCAGTTACCTTGACTTATTTTTTTAGTTATACCATGACCTGGATGAATGAGAACCTTTACAGATACTTCCTGTTCATTCATAACAAGCTGCAAGTCCTAAATCTTTGTCCTCAATCCCTTTTTTAAAGGAAAGTATCGAGTGTTTAGAACACCTGATATTTCACTGAAGCACTCAACAAAATGTAAAATTATATTAAATTGGTTTAGTGAACATCTTTTGGTTTCAGCCTGACTTAGTCTTTGGTGCAAAAATCCCCCCATTTCGGTGCATCCCTACCGATGACTCTTTCCTGTAGGTACACTTGTATTCAGCATATGAGTGCTGCAACATGGGATGGAAAGTGGCTTTTAACACCAGTTGCACTAAAGAAGCATAATGGCTGGCTACAGTGCTCCATTTTCTGAGTTAACGTAAATGTCACTGATTGGACAGCTATAAACATTTTCTCATTGTAGGTGACAATTCATCATTGAAGAATTACATTGGTGCATCTGCTGATGCTTCACCTGATGAAAGGGGAAAACTGTTGGCGAAAAATGAGGCAAGTTGGCAATATTTCTTCACTGGTCACATAGCATGCCTTTTCTTGTGCTCGCTGCTTCCAATGGCTGGATCAAGCTTCTGTAAATGTAATGCTCTCTTGTATTCCAGGCCTTGTTGTCAGATTACAAGTCTGTTGCGGCTGAGGGCTTTGTCAGGGTAAGTGGCTTGGCATAATTGAATATGGACTCGGTTGTGGTAGTAAATGATAAAGTGGTTTATCCCTTAAACCAATCACAAATGGGACTTGTGCAAGAATCTCCACATTCATCATTGTCTCCATGTAAACTTTTGTATTCTCTCGCAGTACAGAAAAATCTTGTCAAATGCTTTAATTTGAGGCCAGTAGATGCAGCTTTGTTGGATCATGTGTAATCTGATTACGTGGCCAATAAACTGCCATGATCTCTTGATAAAGGTCATGTAACATTTACACTGGCAGAATGCTTGTTTGCCTCTGTTCATCTAAGTATTGAATGTTACTAATTGAAATGTTAATGTTTCCACAGCCAGAGGGAGGTGAGCACTGCAATGTCATGGTGCTTGTTGCTGTGAATAAGCACATCTATGAGCTTGGTAAGTAGATCTGACGGATTTGTAGCTTTTGGTGGTCCTGATCCAATTAGGGATGTTTGCACTGTATGAGGTTAATCTGCACGAACTCCATAATCTAGTCCTTCTGATTTAAGTTGGAAACTTACTAGTTTCCTGAAGTGACCTCCAATTACAAACTTCTGCTAATAGTAGGCTCTGAAGTGGTGCATGCAGAGTATAAATGTTTCAGAAGCACCATGTCATGTGTTCCTTCATGCCTGCCCAGAAATGCCAGCTTTTCACCATGCCTAGTGGCTGACTGGCACAGTGGGTAAGTGCTACTGGGGAGGGGGACATTAACCCCTTCGTGACTGACAACGTTCAGTGTACATCGCCAGCATCGGCTGTTTTAAACACAGGCAATAGCCGCCGGGACTCTGTTTAAACTTTTGGGCCCCGTTCACATTGAGCGATTTTATCGCGCGGTAAGTCCTGCGATATCGCAGCTATTTACCGCGCGATATCGCTCTTCAATGCTTTGCAATGGGGCAAAGGGTCCTGCTGTCGTGTGTCGCTACAGCAGGACCCTTTTTGGAGTGGATTTTGCCACGATTCTCGCTTGCTCAATGCAAGCATTTGTGCGATATCGGGTAAAATGCAAATCGCGCAGTGTGAATGGGGCCGTAAAGCCGACTGTCGGCTTTACAACAGAGCGATTCTGTAGACGGGACACTGGGGGTCTTTTGGACCCCCAGCATCACCTTAAGAGTACCTGTCACACCATCTATCACATGGGGGGGGCTTGTAAGCCACCCCATGTGATAGCAGTCAAAGTAAAAAAAAAAAAAAAAATTCTTAAATAAAATAAATCTAACAATATGTAAAGTCCCCCGCCCCTATGAGCATGCGCGTCGCCACATAAACACGCGTCAGGTGCACCTACATATGGAAATGACGCCGGAGTGAGCATTAATTCTAGGGCCAGTATTTTGGGGTATCTAAATTGATGACCTGTGGACGCTTTTAAAGAGTCTTCTATGGACGTTTTGGGGTACTGCAATTTTTAACTGGGCATGTGTATCGTTTTACTCGCAAGCTCATCTTTATATTTCGTTTAAAAAAAAAAAATGGGTGTTTTTGGGGCATTTAATTATATAATGTTTGGGGGTTTTAAGTCATTTTCAGGCCTAAAATGTGGAATATAACATGGGTGCAAAAAATGAAAAAAAAAGGCGTGTCATGAAGGGGTTAAAGAGCAGCTGGCAACTTTATAACATGACCTGATCTTCACTCTTGCAGAATCCTAGCCCTGGTGCATGCACCTTTTTTTAAAAAAAATAGCAGTCTCATAACAATCTGATGGATCCCTCAAACCCATCGAATTTTAAACAGAGCTGTAATTCCAAGTGTTTCAGTAAAGTCACTGCCAGACCTCTGAGGGCCTGTTCACACGACGTCCGTTTTGTGTGCTGACCTGATCCGTACGCTGCTGCAAAAAATGTATCGCTATGTGTTTTATGGGCTCCAGTTCTCATGTGCGCAGTCCGTTCAGCTTACGACAGAAAAAATACTGCATGTCAGTTTGTCCGCAAACTCCTTCAAAACATAAAAAATGCACTGCACTGCTGCTAACATACTAACAGCCCCACTCCAGCAAAAAAAATTTTTTACTGGAACGCATCAAAAACGTGGCAAACGCACTGCATCAGTCTGCAGATCCGCACCAGATCAGGACCTGATATCATGTGAACAGGCCCTGAAACATTCTCCAGGTTTCTGGTGTATGTTGTACATACTTTGGTCATGGTCAGACTGAGTCACTGATGCAAGTGGAGCACCTCTGAGCTACCATATCAAACACTAAAGCAGGCCTCTGACAACTGCTGGCCATAAGGGGGTTGCAGGCAGCACTCCCTTTCTCCTAAATTGTATCCAGTTGGGATTCACAACATGCAGTCTTGCCTGTATCCCTTGGCACCACAGCTTCTGTTGAAGGGAAAATTGGATGACTGCACTTCAAACTCTGCAAAAACCCATCTGTTTAGCTACACTGTCAGGGGCATTGCATTTTCAACCACATCCAAGTTTCCCTGTATTTGGGGATTCCCATTTCAATTGCCTAGTTAAGTGAAAATGGCTAGCTAATGCCACTTTTCAAGCCCTTTTGAGAATGCATACAAGGAGACAGCACCTCATTAGGTAGACCTGTTACAAGGAAACTTACTATGAGATTCTACATTCAAGGATTTGGACGAGAAGCTGGTGTCCCTTTTTGCCACCCCCTGGATTCAGGCTGTGACCCAATTGGTTAGTCTTGCATCAGGAGCTGAGCAGTGCTGTCAAATCATTTCCCCAGATGCAGTTATTACCCACAACTGTTCCACAGCTGATCTTTAGAATCCCTTTTTGCTTGTGTTCTGCTGCCATCAGTAGGCAACAGGGTGAGGGGATGATGGCGCATAAACCACAGCATTGTGCTGTTTTGGCTTTGCGAATCAAGTTCTGTAAATGGTCACTTTACAGCTCTCCTAAAGAGTTCTCTGCCAACTCCGTGGGGCATTGGTCTGCTACAGTGCAGCATAATTTTAATGTAATGGGGCCATCTGCTCTTCATAAATGAGCCCATAAATGTTAAAGTGGATGCAAACCCTAACTGGACACCTGAATTGGCACTTCACATGTTACCACAGTGCAGAACACACATGCAGAATTTGTGGTGCCAATGCACACTTGTTGTGCACCACACTGGCATGCAGTGTTCATAAGGTGCACTGGCATCCCATTCACAACTGGCTCACATGTTTGCACTGCGAAGGTAGGGCCATGAGGTTTGGCTTTCTTTGAGCACTTGGGTAAGGTTTACACATGGGGTGTGCCATGTATAGTTGTGCAGTGCCTCAATAACAAAGGTCTTCTGTTTAGGAGCATATACAATCCCTGTGTATACCCAGCATGCTGTCACTGTAAGGAACAAAACAGTGAGCTATGGCAGCTCACTATTGCTTCTCTCCCTGTAATCACTGGGAAGTGCAGGAACCAGGCTGCCTGCTCTGATTGGGCATTCATGGAACCTGGTGGCTACCTCACTTCTGAGTGAGGTGGTAGCTTCTCCCTGTTGTGGGCCTGGACAAACTCTTGTCAGAGGGAGTAGGCCCACTGTACATGGCTGCACCTTGTCAGACTAGGTGCAGATCAGGAGCTAATATCCAATCCATAGAGCAAACATTGGTTTATAGGGCAGTCTGCAATATTTCTGCTACAAATGGTATTTAAGTATTGGCAACAATCCTCAACATGGGTGCACTGTGATTTGGTACATGTTGAGTTTACATGCCATGTGCTCCAAAAATGCCAAACAATAGTTTTATTGGGCGCCGTGTTTAAGCACCTTGTCTTTTGTACAATGCTGTGTAAGAGGTTAAACAGATAAATCAGAAGTTACAATTCAGTGAGTGTGTAAAATGAGACATGGCAAATGGTGACATAATATGCCAAGAAACTAGTGCTTTTTTTTTTTTCTTCTTAGATGGACAAAATGAACGTCCTATTGACCATGGTCCATTGTCTGATGAACACTTTCTGGAGGTACTGTATTAAATGTGGGTGGTTTGCAGTGCATCCCAAGCAAATGAGTCTTAACACTTTTAGTATAACACTTTTTTTTTTTTCTATAGTTTCCATGGCAGTGGTTTAAGAGTTATGGGATAAATGTTCTCTTAAGGGTCTCCTGGGTGGACATAAACTAGCATCCTCCCGTGACCCAAAGCTCCGTATATCACGAGCTACAGCTTGCGGTATACTGAGACCGCCGCAGCCAGGACAGATCCCGACATTACTGTTCACTCCACCCAGCTGCGTGATTGACAGCTGCCTTTGCCTATCTAGAGGCAGAACCAACTGTCCGTTCCCCCAGTCAGCACTGGAGCATGGGGGGGGGGGGGGGATTCCTGCAGGGAGCAGTGACTGTCACAGCTCTCTGCAGGGGATGATCGAGAAGTGAGCAAGCGACGCTATGCGTTCGCTCACTTCCTGATCTATTGAGCCGGAATGAGTTTCATTGTCGCACGTTGGCTTGAACTATGAAGGTTCATTTTTTTTTCTCTTCACTCGCCTCATTGTTCTCTTTTAAATCTCTAAATTTTAAATGACAAGCCTCAGGAGTTAAATCCTAAAAAATGCATTCAAGTACCATAACACATGTATCTTAGTATCACTCAGCTGTAGATCCTCAAATCATCTCTGAATTGGTGCTGACACTGTCCTTCCTTCTGGAGGGTGGCTACTTTGTGTTCCCGTGTGTTAAGTCACCATTCCACGCTTAAGAGTATCGGAACACCTGTCATTGTGGTTTAACATGCACACAATACATATTCTGTTGGTGTGATCACAGCAAGGGAAGGGTGCTCGAGCAGATTAACATTTTTTTTTTCTCAGCCTTTAAGGGAAACGGCAGCCAGATATAAGGATTTATAGCTTGCTGATGCAAACAGTAGTGATGCTGAAGCACACTTGTGTAGACTAGAAGAAAGGGGGAGCAGCAGCTGCCACAGCTCAAAGTATACAGAAATGGAGGTAGTAAGACATGACATCTTCATGTGCATAAAGCACAGCCATGCCATAGGGGTCTATGTATATCTATATACTGATTCCAAACTACCTACAACTGGATAATATACTTGTGTCTAAACCTTTTTACATGAAGCTGCTTCTGCAAACACTGACTGAGCTGTAATAGCTACACCATTGTGGAGAAGTGTTTATTCTAACTGTAGTTCTTGCATATCACAGCTTGTATGTGGTGGGATCCTTAATAGTTGTAGCCTAGATTGAATGGAGTCTTGTAAGTAACTTCAGTCATTTCAGTAACAGTCGTTTTTTCTTCTATTTCAGAATGCAGTTAAAGTTTGCAAACGGTACACTGAACAGGCAAAAGATGAAGTGCGTTTTTCAGCTGTGGCTCTTGTCAAGGATGCATAATCTTAATGTCGAGCTTCTCATGGTTCTGTTAATAATGCACCTTTGTTTATCTGACACTTAAGCTTCTTAGCTGATTCACCTGTTAGCCACTCCAAAAAATGCTTTTCAAACTGATCACCTACCTATGAAAAATGTGCCTGCCTTGTGGTTGTTTTGCACTTCTGTTCTGTAGTTGTACTAAATAAAACTATTTTGAAAGTTAATGTTGTATTCTTAGCACCACCTTTTTATTGGGACACTGGGCACAAACGCATCCCTGGACAGACCACACTTCAAACAAAAAAAGGCTGCATGGTTTTTGGTTGGTTTCTCTTGGCTTTAAAGACCTTAACAGCTGAGCTAGGAGCCCACCAGTGCATGCCAATACTTGCTACAGCAGCCTGTTATCTCACAGGGAACACATGACCGTGCCTGGAAGGGGAAATGGTGACCGCAACAAGTCGGTGTCAATTCTGGTGATGCAGCCTGTCTGGGGCAAGGTACCTTCCCCTCATCCTCCGGTTATAGTGAGTATATCCTCTAGCCCTTACCCTCCCTGGGTGGCTGGCATAGTCTATAGGTAACATTTTCCCATGTGGCCCACTGTTTGTCTGATAGCACATGGGGTCCCCTCTCTCCTGTATGGTCATTGTGGGGCTGCGGGGCACATGTTCACTTTACAGTTGGACTGTCCATAGAGGACATGGCTTTTGGCCTGGAGCTGTTTTGTTGAGGGCTTCCGTGGCCCTGTTCTGTGGATGTGAAGACCCTGCAGACAGGTTGCCCAGTAAATTTTGGCTTGTGACAAGCCACAGCTGCCACGTGTTGCTGCCTTTTACAGAGTTGGAAGTGCTGTGCAGAGACTGGGATGGCTGTGGGAGGGGTATCTGTGGATACCTCTCCAGGTGCAGAAGGGTATGCTAGGGACCTCATTATGGACTTTGTGGGGTACTGAAGTTTGTCAGTTTCACATTCGCACAATTTTAAAGCTGGGCATTTATCTTATTTACTTGTAACCATCTTTTATATTTAAAAAAAAATAATTGGTATTGTGTTTTGGGTATTTAGTGCATTTATCAAATTTTGGGGTTCGATGAGTTGCAAATTTTTATACTCTGATATTAGTGCAACTGCAACTATTTTATTCTATAGGGTCTTGGCTTTTAGAAAACGTGTGGGGGTTTTAAGTAATTTTCAGGCCTAAAATGTGGCTTATAAACATGTACACAGAGGGCTTAGACCCCGTTCACATGTAGCGACATAACCTTTGCAGCGGCCGGGATAGCGCGACGGTAGCGCGACCTTCTCCGTTGGGCTCCATAGAAAAAAAGCAAAATCTGCCGAAAGGGGGCGGTAGAAGCGACTTGTGACATGGGAGTTAAGACAGCTCCATTGAATAGCATTGGCCGGCGATATCGCGCGATACGTCGCTACATGTGAACGGGGCCTAAAAGGCCCTTAACCACTTTCTGACCAGGTGTTTAGACCCCCTTCCTGGCTAGGCCATTTTTCAGTATTCAGAGCTGCAGTACTTTGACGTTTATTCTGTCGTGCAATGCTGTACTAAAATTATTTTTTTAAGAAACCCCCCCTACCCCCATGTGATGGCAAAATATGTGACGGGTCCTTTTTTATGGCGACATCAGGGGTCACCTAGGACCCCCCCAAGGAGAGGATGAAGCGGAGATCAGCGTCTGAAGCTGGAGAGTGACACGAGAAAGTGATTTGAGATACATCACTTCTGCATTCTGACACGAAAGGGGACTGCAGGGAGATCGTGTGTTTTTTTTTTTTTTTTTTTTTTTTTTTTTTTTTTTTTTTTTTTCTTTCCCTTTCCCCCCCGAGGAACATATAATTTTAAGGACAGATCCTGCCTTTTTACCAAGGTATCCTCTACTTTCCAGAGTACAGATCATCCTACCTATCCAGCGTCATTTAGCTAATCTTATGTTAGACATCTGCTTCATACAGGTGTCTAAGCATTATTTGTACTGTTTTTGGCTAAATCCAGGGGTGCACAGGCTTCTAAATCCTCCAGATGGTTAATACTGTCTATAATGGAAGCCTATAATGCAGTGGTTCTTAACCTTTCTAGGGCCGGGACCCCTTGGTAACATTTGCCAAGTTGTGGTGACATCTGATGGCGGGAGAACTGACACTGCTGCGCTAGGGGAGGGCTGAAGAGGACTCTCACCTAGCACAGCAGAAATCACACAGCGACCCACAGGTTGAGAACCACTGCTTAAAGGAGACAACGAATCCCAGAGGAATACAACAAATCTCAGCAATGGTTCATTATACTATAATGGACTATTGCTGGGATTTGTATTCCTCTGTAGGTGTTCTGCATTGCGTCGTGTAATGTATTATTGCTGGGATTTGTAGTCCCATATAGCTGGTGGTATTCTGCATTGCGCTGTATAATTATACGGCACAATGCAGAATGCCAGCAGCTATATAGGAATACAACAAATGCCAGCAATAGTACATTATACTTACAGTGTAGGGATGCACAGATACTAATACTAGTATCGGTGCCGATACCGAGTATTTGGTTGAGTACTCGTACTCGCCCAAATGCTCCAATACCTTTTTCCTCTGGCAGTGCCGCGAGGAAAGATGGAGCCGGAAAGCTGGCTCCATGATGTTTGGCTGGCTTGATGCTGATTGGCCGGGAAGCCGGCTTCCCAGCCAATCGGTGTCGAGCCGGGCAAACAAATCTGATAATATAGCGACACGACCCCCCCACCCCCTGCAGGTACCCAATTCCCCTCACATAGATCCTTAGCATTCAGTTCCTCGGCCAGATCTGCCGTCTCCTGTATGCACAACGCTCACGTGATCAGCGTTCAGCCTGCTACTGCGCATGCACAGGATTTCTGAAAGCTATAGTGTGGCGTTTCCTCTCTTGGGGAGGAGTTTCCATAACTCGCGATGCTGTCCGGGAAGACTATTGCAAATAGTTACCGGTAAGTTCTAACTCTGGTCAAGGTTTTCCAGCCCAAGATAAGTTGATAAAACCTAAGTCTGGTTTGGCAACCCTGAGGCCCCATTCACACTTGGCGATTCGCAAATTGTGCGATATCGTGCAAATGCTTGCATTGAATCGCGGCAAAATCCGCTCCAAAAAGGGTCCTGCTGTAGCGATGCACGACCCGCGACAGCAGGACCCTTTGCCCCATTGCCATGCATTGGAGAGCGATATCGCGCGGTAAATAGCCGCGTGATAAATCGCTCAGTGTGAACGGGGCCTTACATTGATCTTCCTGGCAGAGCCGCAGGCAAGTGTGGAATTGGGGAACCATTTGTACAGTTCTAGAACTTTGCAAGGGAACATTCTTAGGTTCTAAACATACTGTTTGAACATGATGATCCAGTTACCTTCTTAAACCAAAATGTCTGTCCATGTGGCTTTTGTCCCCAGCATTTCTTCTGCTGAAAACTGAACTAGTCTTTGAGGGATAAAGGCTGAGACCACTTCACTTAACTCTGGTTTGGCCATGAAGTAAAACAAATGGCAACCCCACTGATCAATGTATAACGGTTTAAAATGAAGGTGCACATTGAAGGGCTTTACACAGTACAAACACCAACATTTTCCAGCATACTTACCAGCTAGCCTGCAAAAAAAAAAAAAAATGACTGCCGATTGGTTTAAACTGGTTTTAGTTGTGCCACTTTTGCAAAAGATGTCGAATTCATACTTTGTCTCATTTAAGGAGGACAATGGGGTCAGGGCTTTTCCCCATAGTTCTCTTAAGGGTAACGGGAGGACACAAACTAGCGTCCTCTCGTCACCCTAAGCTCAGTATACCGCAAGCTACATATCGCTGTATACTGAGACGCTGAAGCAGATCCCGACAACTGTCTGGATCCGCCCAGCTGCGTGAGAGGCAGAGCCAGCTGTACCTGCCCCAGTCAGCGTGTGTGGGGAGGAATCGCCGCAGGGCGCCGTGAGCGACCGTCACGGCTCTCTGCACGGATAGATCAAGAAGTGAGCGAGCGCCAGTATGTTTGCTCACTTCCTGATCTACTGAGCCGACCTGTGACAGTCAGTCACAGGTCAGCTCAGATTATCGGGCTGAGTGAAAATCACTTGCCTTATAATTCTCCCTTAAGGCATTTCTATACAGAGGTCCTAACACTAGTCTGGGCTCCATCTTGGAGCATTTATGGCTTAGGACAAATTTAGGTGCAGGCACACCCTGAGGTAGCCCATTCCTCCTTAGAAGCATAGAGACACACCAGAAGCCCAGGACATCACAATGGCATTTGAAGCCCCCAGTGTGTCCCCATACCAAATCCAACAAGTGAAGTAACATCCACACTCCTCAAGCCACGCTGCCTCATCAATGCTCCTCTGTTTAGTGTGGGGCACATTGGAACTTCAGCATGGACTCAAGTATTGGGGTACTCCTATTGTTACTTGACACTTCATCTCCTGGTTCATTTGTCCTCAAACCCTCAGCCAAGATGCCCTTCTTTGAGCTGGAGCTTTCCCCTAGTATACATGTTTCCACCAACAGGACTCGTTCTTCAAGTGTTGCAGAAGCTAAACTTTGAAGAAGTGGATGCCATAGCGATAATTCCATTTTGGTCCAGGAGACCCTGGTTCCCTTTGTGCGTGAGCGTGGCGATAGTACCTTTTGCCATTACCACCAATGAGAAGTCTCTTGAGTCTGGGGGAACACCTGCCTTTCACAGCATGGAGGCTGCCATGATTAGGTCTTTCCTCAGGATTGTTTAAAACATTTCTAAAGTCTATGAAAAGGACTACCGAAGGAGAAAAGGGATGAAATTTGCACTTTTGAGCCATAACAGGTAAGACCACCCTTGGTAGGGCGGTTCCTCCGTCTGGTTTCAAAATCATTTGGCTAAAGAAAGCCTTTCCCATAGGCCCTTCACCTATAGTAAGGCTGGTACTTGGATGGCCCCAGGTGTCAGTAGCGTAACAACCGGGGGGCGGGGGGGGGCACTTGCCCCGGGCGCAGGACTGAAGGGGGCGCCGTCACGCCCCCCGCTAAACGAAGCCATGGCTCCATGCCTCGGGTGCCCATAACTCTGGTTACGCCACTGCCAGGTGTTGCACTATATGATCTGACTGTAGGTCAGAAGTAGGATAACCTACTTGGCGATTAGCCACAAATCTAGACTGGACTAGAGGTAAACAGTGAGAAGTCCATAAACCTCACAAAAGCACAAAAGGTTAGGACC